TGCTCTCTGGTGCTTCTTTTACAAGGGCACTAATCCCATTCATGAGGGCCCCACCCTTGTAACCTAATTGGCACAAAGTCTTCATCACTTAACATTACCACAGGGAGGATTTAGCTCAGTATTCAGATAGCGGCATGCAGTGATCACCAACGTGGGTGTTGCAGTCCAGTAGATATGGCCCCAGCACTTAGAGGCAGAGGTCTTGGGCATCTTTGGTAACGTGACACCACGTATTTTGTAGGACTGTAATAAGAACTGTGCCAACCAATGCAGCATACCTGGATTAGAGCGCTTTGAGCAGAGATCAACTAGGGACTAAGGACCCTACAAAGGTGTGGCCAGGGTGCAAGGAACCACAGAGTTAGTGCAATGCTCTGGGTCTTGTTCCCACTCAAGTATGCAAAAGTAAACTGAGACCACACTCTGTCCAAAAGCTGTCGATACTGTGGGTGGGACCAAGAGGCCATTTGGCAGGAGCCTGGACCTTGAACTGGGACGAACCTCCGATCTGATTTATTCTTCCCACTTGTGTCTCACTGACCAAATCAAAGTGGAGACCACTGGACAGAGAGGTCAGGCTCCTGTGACAAAAGGCCAGGCATAGGGTGAGGGAGAGAGATCTGGGACAATGGAAGGTGTTCTGTGCTAGTACTTCAATCCAATAATCCTGGTTGGGGGTGGGGTGGCTCAGTGGGCAAGAGCTCTTGTTGCGTGAGCCCAAGGATCTGAGTTCGGATCCCCGACACCGATGTGAAAACCTAGGCACGGCTGTGTGCACACCTGCAGCCCAGCATTGGGGGATGGAAACAGGAAGATCAGTGGAGCTTGACGGCTGCCAATCTCCAGGTTCCGTGAGAGACCCTGCCCCAAGGGAAGAAGGCTGAGCACGGAAAGTGACAGAGGAGAACACCTGACATCCTCTTCTGACCTCTGTGCTTGTGCATCTGCACAAATACACACACACACACACAGAAGCAAAAGTGCATATAGAAGCACTGTGCATGCACTTAATACACACTTGCTAAAATTATATTATTATTATTACTAGAAACAATCTATGGTTATGGGTGTCAAAGGAAAATATATATATATACACACACACACATATATATCTATATATCTATCTATAGATATATCTGTACACACATATATACGACCAGGGGAAAACTACTGAATATCCCTGGAGAAGTTGTGCTTTCAGGTGTGACTTGAAGCGAGGAAAATGATACAGCAGAAGGAAGAGCAAACACACGGAACGCCCCGCGCAGGCACCACTTCAAAGACTTCACACCCATTCTGGTCTTTAATTTTCATGTCCACCTAGTGAGGTGGGTACCCCTCCTTCTCCTCCTCCTTCTCCTCCCTCCTCATCTTCCTTCTTCCACTTTTCTTCTTTTGAGACAGGGTCTTACTATGCAGCTCTAACTGGCCTGGTACTTGATATGTAAACCAGGCTGGCCTTGAACTCACAAAGGTCCATCTCTCTGCCTCCTGTGTGCTGGAATTAAATACTCTGAGTCACCACTCCCAGCTAGGTACTATTCTTTTATTTATTATTTATTTATTTGCTAAGTACTATTTTTATCTCCATTTAATAGATGGGGAACTGAGGCAGAGAGAGGTTGGGTAACTTGACTGAAGTTGCACAGCTAATAGGCAGTCTAGCCAGGTTCTGAGGCGTCATGGCATTTTTTTTTTTTTTTTTTTGATAAAGTGCTGAAACAAATGTAGAGGAAACAGCTAATCAGGTGGGTAGGCTAGAGCGCAGGGCTAGAGCGCAGGGCTCGTGCTGGGGAGTGGTGGGAATCCAGTGAGCTGAAGGCCAGATGCTAGGCTGAGAAATTTGGCCTCCTTTCTGACAAGCAGCGGAGAGTCACTTGGAAGTTCGGAGGAAAAGCACTCCCAGCAGAGTTCTAGGAAATTAATCTGTGTGCAGAGTGAAAATAAGAAAGCAGAGGGAGTCTGCAAGCCAGGCAATTAGCTAGAGGATGCTGCAGTGGCCCAAACCTTGGGCCACAAGGGCTTGAATGAGATGGACAGGGCATTGGGGTTTCAGCGCAAAAGCTTCAGGGGACTTGGAACTGAAGAGGCAGTTGTGTCCTGGGTGGCTGAACAAAGAGAAAAAGAGCAGGTAGTTTAGGACCTATGTGACAAGTAAGTGAAGGCATCAGCTGTAACATTCAGCCACATTGACTATGCATATTGGTGGGGGGAGGAGGTGTGTGTTTTCTAGTTACAAAACAAATACTGTGAAATTGCATCAACTACACATGCCTCAGTGAGTTGCACAGTGGTGGCCCATTTCACCATCTTTGCTCCTGGCAAATTCACTAGAGCTTGCAGCAGCATAGGCGTGGATTCAAAGACCCTCCCCCTCCCCCCGCCCCGTAATATTGAAGATCAAGGTTTCAGGGTGCTGGAGGCTCATCCCGGGAAATCTGGAAGTAGGCTCTGTTGCCTGGTGGTAATGACACTTCTCTAGTAGCCCTGTGTTTTCTGCAGGATGCATCTCATTAAAAAGAGAGAGATGGATGGCCGACACCTTTTTCTGAAGTGGCGTTTTCAACGTCTCAAGTCCTGCTATCTTTTTTTCTAAGTGGCACTAACAAAATTCAAGGATGAGAAAGAAGGGGGAGAGCAAGAAAGGTCTAGTAGGTTCGTAAGCACCAGAGGAGTCAATCTTGATGCCTGGGTTTCAGAGCCTTCTCGAAATCCACCCGACATGAATTAGCCTGAAGTAAAAGTAGGTGTTTATCTCAAGTCATTGCCTCAAACAGCCAACTACCTGTTGGAAGAAAGGTCTGATCGATGCCAACCAGAGCAGCCGTGCATGAGCTGTTACACAGCAGTTAGTATTGATCAGAGCCAAAGGCTGCCCATAGGAATGTGGAGGAAACTGACAAGCGGAGAAGAGGCAAGAAGGAAACAGCCTTCGCTGGTGGCAGCTGTGCAGAGCCAAGCCGATAAAAAGTCAATTCCAGTTAGTGGAATCACTGCTAACTAAATATTTGGGGGGCCAGAGCCTTCCCGGGCAGCTGCTGGAGGATCGTGGCTTCCAAACTGAGACATCAAGCAAGCTCAGGGAGTGGACAGGTGAGGTCCTGGCTCCAGGGATCGATCATGGGAGAAGAAAGTCCTTGATGGAGGGTGAGAGGCTCTGGCCACAGCTGAGATGGCTTGACTAGGGCACTAGAAGACATCCTGCTTCCCAGGAAGTTTAGCAAGGGCGGCCGGTGCTGTAGTTTGGATCTTGAATGAAAACATTCACTGTGTTGGAAGTTTGGTCCCCAGTCTGTGGTTGCCATGGGGAAGTGGTAGAACTTTTCATGGAAGGGTTCTAGTGGAAGGGGTTAGGTCACTAGGACTGTGCTCTTTAAGAGAATGTTAATCTTCATTAAATCCCTCCCCTCAGGGCTCAGGGAACCCAGCAGAAGACAGGCAGAAAGAGTGTAAGAACCAGAGAGGATGGAGGACACCAAGGAAACAAGGTGTTCTAAACGCAACAGGACCCATACAGACGGGAACTCAGACACTAAGGCAGCATTCATGGAGCCTGCATGGGTCTGCACCAGATGGGTCTGCTCTACATGGGTCTGCACTGGATGGGGTCCTAGAGCTGAAAGAAGTGGACACATGCCCCCACCGCAACCCAGAAGCCATCTCCAATTGATAACCACCTGTGAATGAAAAATTAGTTTTCTGCAAGAGAGTCTCACCAGGGAAACAAACTCCTCTTAAGGTTAGGCTGCATGCCCAGCAGTAGACGGCCAACAGAAAATGAACTCAGCTTCATCTTTGGAGGTTCTTGTCTTGTACTGTCATGTCAGGGCTTTTTTTTTTTTAAGTTTATCTTTCTATTTTTTATTTAGTTCCTCTCTCTCTACCCCTCCTTCTCCCTCCCCCCTCTCTCTTTCTCTCTCTCTCTAACACTATAGGTACTTTGTGTATATATATCATGGCTTCTGGTTTTGTGTTTTTATGGGATTTATGAATGTGCAAACGGTGGGTCTCTGCATCTATATTTGTTTCTTGGGCCTTTTCTTGGGCTCTTTTCCTTCTGTTGGTTTGTTTTGTACTATTCTGATGTGTTTATCTTATTATTATCCCTTAGAAGCCTGTTTGTTTTCTAGTGAGAGACAGGAGGAGTGTGGGTCCAGATGGAAGGGGACATGAGGAGAAACTGGGAGGAGCGGAGGGAGGGGAAACCATAAGCAGCACGTACTGTTTGGAAAAAAAAAGACCAATTTTCAATAAAAGAAAAAAGTCTAGAAAAAGAAAAGAACATGACAAGTGCTTGCTTTCTCTCCTTCCCCTCCGCCCTCGCCCTGCTACCTTGAGGTGAGCTGCTTTCTCCCCTTCCCCTCCGCCCTCCTCGCCCTGCTACCTGGAGATGAGCTGCTTTCTCCCCTTCCCCTCCGCCCTCCTCGCCCTGCTACCTGGAGGTGAGCTGCCTTCTCCCTCATATGTTCCTGTTAGGATCTACTTTGCTACAGGCACATATGCACTTGGGTCAACCAATTACGATCTGAGTACTCCAAACTTACGGAGGAGAATGAGGAAGAGGAGGATGGAGAAGAGGGAGGAAGGGGAAGAGAAGGAGGGACATTAGCAACGGCAAACTGAGGAACTCAAACCAAAAATTGCCCTTCCTTTTTAAAGCGGCTTCATCTCAGATATCTGTAACAGTAATGGCAGCTGACTCCTTCAGCGGGTCCTGTAACAGAAAGAAGCTGAACAGTGCCCTATGGGTCATTAAGGGCTGGACTTTGGAAGGTCTGCCACTAACTGATACCTTATCTTCCTGAGATTATGTATGCTTGGTAGAACTGATCTTTTTTTTTTTCTTGGATTAGCTGGGACTATGGGCTTTGTGGTGGACAATGAAATTTGACCAGTGATGTGTGTCTCTTCTGGGCAGAAGCAGGGTCCTGGGATTGGCTTACCATTCTGATCCAGACCCTCATGTTGATGAGAATGAGTGAAATCATCTTGGATTAAAATACCAGCTAGCTCAGTTGCTAGAGCATGAGACTCCTAATCTCAGGGTTGTGGGTTCAAGTCCCACATTGGGTGCCATACTGTAGCTCAAGCCTGCATGTCAAGGTGTCTCTGTATCATGGTTTGCCTGAGAGACACAACTAGGAAGCTGTTTTTAGTTCCATTTTAGAATCTTTTTGTAAAGTTTTCTCAGGTTTTGGGTGGAAATTCTTGCCCCACGTTGAGCGCCAAAAGTAGATGGAAGTTTCTTTGGTCCTGCCTTGCCCAGCAGTCTGGACAACTCTCTCCCATCAGGTCCCACAGCTCCTTATAAAATAATTACTCAGAGGCTTATATTAATTACAAATTGTATGGCCTATGGTTTCAGCTTCTTGCTAGTTAGCTCTTTCATCTTAAATTAACCCATTCCTATTAATCTATATGTTGTCATGTGGCTGTGGCATTACCGGTCTGCTGGCATTTTGTTGCTCCTTTGGTGGCAGCTGGCGTCTCTCTTCTTCCCCCTCTCTCTTTGCTCGGATTTCCCACCTGGCTGTAAGCTTTCTTGTCATAGGCCAAAACAGCTTTATGTATTATCCAATGGGAGCCACACATATTCACAGCGTACAAAAAGACATCCCACAGCATAGATGCCCAGAACTGCACTGGATTTTATGGTCAGAATAAACTTTTATTGTGTTACACTACTACATTTCGGGGCTTGCTTGTTACTCAGCATGACTGAATCTTTGCTGATTGACATAGGGGATTGACATACTAGTTGCTTGTAGTTTGTGGTTTGGCCTATTGCTTAACCCACCCAGGTCATGGGTAATTTATAAAATTTACATAAAAGCAGCAACAGCAATAAAAATAATCATGTGTGGAATGCTTACTAGTTGTAAGTATGGTGAAAATCTCTGCCCATATTAATGGAGGTATCCTCTAAGTGTTCCTGTGAAGAATCTACTGTCCTCATTTTATAAATGGAAACTTTGAACCCCAGAGAGGCTGAGAGAATCCCCATGGTCACACAGCTTATAAAGAACACACAGGAACTAAAATTTAGGTAGACCAGGTCCAGAGCACATTTTCTTGACCATTGTTATACTGGCTTTCAGTTTAGATCCTTCACAAATAACAGACCTCTCAGTATAGGCTTGAGGACAAATTCTCTCTCTGAATCATATCCACACACTCTCTGTGGGAAGAAAAGGAAAACACAGCTCGGATTCATTTTGAGCTGTTACCATTCCATAGCCTTTCTTCCTATAGAAATCTCTATTCGGAGGGAGCCTGTCTGGAAAGTTCTTCTGCATTTGGTCCTCAAATCTTGGCTATTTCTCTAGCTCCACAGCAACTGTCTGTTTACCTGTGATGTACATGAGAGAATTTCTTATCCAGCAAGAGATGGCTAGAGAATATCTGAGGGGCTTCTGAGGTACAAAGTGGACTAGTGACACCCACCTCACTGTTTTGTTTTTTAATGGTAACATTAAAAAAAATATTTCCTGCTGGGTTTGACAGCACAGGCTACTACTCCCAGCTACCCAGGAGGCAGGAAGATGGCAAGTTCAAGCTCTGCCTAGGCCTCTTGGTGAGATTCTACCTCAAAACAAAAAGTGAGAGGAAGGCTGGGTTGGGCACAGTGATGTCTTTTAATCTCAGCACTGCAGACCCGGGTGGTACAGATCTCTGTAATTCCTGCAACTGCTTTCACAGCCAGCTTGTCTGTGACATCGAATTCACCCACTGAGCCATGCCCTTTTCATCTCTCTCTGCTCAGAGACTTTTGTTCTCTCCCACTCTTGGCTCATGGAAGCGCATTGAGCAGAAACCATGACGGCGAGTGCTACCCAGTCTTGACATTTCCTCTGCCAAGCAAACTAGTCTGTTACTTTTGAATTCACCCAAAGTCTCAGGACATGGGCAGAATGCAGTCAGATTCTTGCCGGAATGTAACGTGAATGCTCCCTAGCTCAGTTTCCAATAGACTCCTTGTCTTCTCTGAAACACCATGAGCTAGTTCTCTGTGTTCTGCATCTCTCTCAGCATTCTGCTCTTCCCAGCTCCCACCAGAATGACCCCTTGAACTCTGCTTTGTAGGAATTCCCTAGCCTGCAGCTTCAAACTCTTCCACATTCTCCCCACAAGCCAGTTCCAAGGCCCGAGATCCACACGATCAGGTTTATCACAGCAATGCCCTTACTCTTTGGTAACACTTTACTCTTTGCTTTTTTTCTTTTTAAAGACAGGGTTTCTCTGTGTAGCCTTGGCTGTCCTGGTACTCTCTCTGTAGATCAGGAGGTCCTCACAGAGATCCATCCGCCTCTGCCTCCCAAGTGCTGGGATTAAAGGTGTACACTACCACCGCCTGGCTCATAATTGTTTTAGTAAGGGAGCTACCCATGCTTTCTGCACATCAATTTTACATGCTGAAGAAATGTATTTATTCTATTTATTGATAAATGAGTGAGCATGTGTTTGTGTGTGTGTGTGTGTGTGTGTGTGTGTGTGTGTGTGCGCACGCGTGCACACGTGTGCACAGACTCATATTTATGCACACTGCCTATCTCTATACTCAGGCTTCTTTCTGTGTGTGTACCGAGAGAATCACAATCAGATTATTTTGAGTGTCTATATTTAACACTCAATAGTGTCAAAAAACTTCATTTCTTTAGGTAGTTGGCTCAACATGTTATGTATGGTTTTAATTACTATCCTCTTCTTGCATAAGAGAAACCAGGAAAAGGGGAAAACATTTAACCTACAAGTGTTGACAGTGATTCTGCTTTCTGAGGCTGAGGGCCAGGATTCCAGAACATGGGTGCTGAGGCTCTCCCGCACTTGCTTCTTAGACTTGGACAGATAGTGCTTAAATCATGTTAAATGCCACTGGCTTCTCTTATCCCAGCTCAGCCTGTAAACATTTATCTCCAGGCTTTCCCAGAAATGTGTCTTATGGAAGGGATTAGCCGTCGTCAGTGCATTTAAAGAGCTGAAGGTGAACTCCTCCAAGCTAACCCTCATAATTAAAGCAGAAAATTCCTGGTGGAAGTGGAAGAAAAAAAATTAGAGAAAAATACCATGTTTGGGAAGAAAGCTGGACTCCTGGGCTCTGCCATCTCCAGCACTTAGCTCCTTCCTAAAACACTGAGTAAGCTTCTGACTTCACACCCCCTTTCACTGTCAGATGAGGCAACCAGAGGCCGGGGAGCTTGATGCCGAAGTGGAGCCACTGATTGGTTTTTATAGTGTTTTTGTCTGGTTTCATGCTTAAGACAGGGCCCCTCTATATAAGCCAGGTAGGTCTTGGACTGGCCATTCTCCTGCTTCAGCCTCCCAAGTGCTGGGATTATAGGCATGTGTCAGCATCATGCCAAACTACAGTATCATTAAAAAAAATATTCATTATGTAAGATAAATTTTAAAACTAAAAAATGATAGCGAATAAGTATCCATGTTCCAGATGAAGGCACAGCAGTTTGCCTCCAGTGCAGGTTCTACAGTGTGTTATCGCTAATACATTTTCATCTCTGTCTTCCCACCCTAAAGTGGAGCAATGGCAGTCTCTGCCTCCTAGGGTTGCCAAGAGACTTCAATGAAAGAACACCTTGAGTGTCAGGAGAATGAAGTCATGCACCAGTTACACAGAAGACTCAGGAAGAGGGGTTGGGGATTTAGCTCAGTCGTAGAGCGCATGCTCAGCAAGCAGAAGACCCTGGGTTTGGTCCTCAGCTAAGGGGTGGGGATTGAGGGGCAGTAGACTCGGATATATAGTTAAAGCCTGAATACAAACAATTTGAAAGCAACTGCTCCGGGAGTCTAACAAATGTCAAGCACAGTCCACGTGCTTTATGCGACTCATGCGATCTTCCTAAGGAGCAGCCCAAACCCACTTTTTAGAGGGGAGACTAGAAAGCAAAACGTAAAGTGCTCAGGGTCACATGGCTAAGTCTCACGGGCCAGCTGGGTTTTGAGAACACATCTGTCTGGTTCTTCTTTTCTTTCTAGGCTACCTAAGACAGGGCAGCTTTGAGAGCAGAGCATGGAGACTTCTGGCCCCAGAGATTCAGTTAAGAGTGTGGGCTGGCGCAATGGGAGGGCACAGGCTGGGAGGGACGCCTGCAGGGGAGGGGAGGGCTGGCAGAGGGGAGGAGGGAAGGCATCAAAGACACTCTGCCCATACTGTGATCTTGCCTAGGGCCAGCACAAGATCTGATTTCCTTTGTGGTCTCCTAGTTGCCTGGGGCAGGGAGTTGCTAGAAGCCACAGGCTGCAACCCCGAAACCTGGTATTCCAGTTCTGCTGTGAATTCTAAAGCCTTGGCAACTCGCATTACTTCCTGGGCAAGTTCCCACTTCTGTAATGTGGGGATCATACATCCTGGCTCAAAGGGTCAGTCTGGAGCTGCTTAAGGGCTTGGTTGGTGATTAGAAAGCATAGCACAGGGCTTTGAGATACTGTGCTTGGCCTGATGTGAACTGTGAGGTAAGAAGGGGGCTGCACAGGCCCCTGTAGAGCTTCCATTTAGAGATAACCCCGAACATGAACCTCCGCGGTAAAGAGACTATGGTCCCAGGGATCCTGGTATTGTCTGTAACCAATTCAAGAGCAGGTAAGGGGCCCAGGAGCCTCATGGATGGGCAGTATTATTACTATTTAGCTACCTGATAGCAGGGTTGACAAAGACACCATAATTAGCCCTCTGGTCTCTGTACCTCCGCTCCTAGCAATTTGGGGCAAGTTGGGGGCTGATGACGTCTTCTCCGGTGGGCTGGTATCTGTCTTGTTTTATGGTTTACTCTGCTTTGGGGCCACCTATCACCCAGAGACACTAAGTAATCGACAGCATCTCTGCCATTTCTTATAGATCCCATAGCCTGTGTCTAGGTGGTATTTCAGGCTGAGCTTTAGTGTAGTGGATCAATGCCTGAATCACATAACAGAATGTGATTCTTCAAGAGTTTGATTAATTATGTCACAGCCTCAGTTCAGGTCCAACCTTTAAAAAGTTTTATTATTGTAGAAAGTGATCAATCAGGAGGGGCAGGAAGACAAGTGCCCCGCGTTGGCTGCATCTCTTCCCTCCTTCTCTGT